TCCGAATCACTGACATGTTTTAAGGGTTCTATTCCCCGCGTATATCTCACTCGTACTCATAAGGAGATACTACCCAATAACCCTCATAACACATTTTAGGTTTACTCTTTAACCTAAATCATCATAAATAATCAGGTATGCTTTTTGACACGTAATTCAGCCAATATCAAATAATTCGCACATAAACATATATTTAATACTTCAAACAATACTTGTATTAAAATCATGTTCATAAAAGAGATTATGCACTCACCTGATAAGGTGGTGACTCGGTACTCGGACAGCGCTTCGTTTACTTAAAACAACTTCTTTCAACAAAACCTAGTATCATTACCACTAGAGTTTAGTCTAATGTTTGACGAGACTAATTAATAGTCTAGCTATTATTACTATTATATAAGCGTTAAACAATACTCTTCACCCACTATGTACAGACAGGGGCCAGACATGAAACACCGAAGGGCAGGATCATTTTGGCATATAACACTTCTGAATCCAGCAACCCAAGCGGCCCTCCAAACCGGATTCCCCGTACCGCAAGTGGTTAAAAAGATATTATAACGACCCTTATATAACGCATAATAATAGCCCAAATACTCTTTATAAGGTCCTAATAACATTACTATATTGAAACATAAGTTATACTAAAGATAGGGTAGGCGTAGCTCACTTACAGCGGGTTTTTCTAGAAAACCGGGCTTCGCTCGGAGCAGTGTTTCCGAGCCGAAAGGCTCTTTTCCTTGGGGCTTCAGGAGCCTTGGGGCTTCCTTCGGGTGCTAGGGGGTTTACCTAGGCTTAGGGGGGGGGGTTTTAGGGAGGTAGAGAGAGAAAGTAGAGAGAGAGAGAGAGAGAGAGAAAGTTGGCTTGGAAGGTGTGAGAAAACGAGCTGCCCTCGCCCTCTATTTATACTGCGAGACCTCGGACTACGCTGGGCGTAGTCCTCGGCTACGCTGGGCGTAAAGGCTCGCATCGTACATACGCGTCGGACAAGGGCTGGGACGACGTGGCCTATCTCGGACCGCAGAAGACAGAAGAATGTTGCGCGTAGTCACCTCTTACGCAGGACGTACTTCAGACGCTGGGCGTCCTCGGATACGCCGGGCATACCCCACACACCCAACTTCGTGATTTGCACTCCCGAATTCAAAAATTCATATCTTTCACGTACGGGCTCCGTTTTCGACGTTCTTTATATCCACGCGTAGGCGGGAACGTACTCTACAATTTTCGTTTAAACTATGTCGTCTAATTTTGACTTTATTTTTAAAGTTTTATTTTTAACAGGCCGGGACAGGACTGGTCCGTTAAAAATCCATAATTTCTTCATCCGGCGTCCGTTTTCGTCTGTCTTTTTACCGTTATGCTACTATTAACGAGATCTTCAATTCTCGTTTAGGTTGTGTTGGCTAAAAACCGCTTGATCTAATATTCGAACTCCAAGTTGCATACCGCTAAGTCGAAACTTCGAAAAATCATAACTTCCTCATACGAAGTCATATTTGGGCGTTCTTTTTATGCACGCTCTCGGTTTAACGTATTCTACGACTTTCGTTTAGATCGTTAAGGCTAAAAGTCGCTCTATCGTAAATTCACTATTTACGTCGCGCAGTGTCGTGCCGGTTCTGTCGCGAAAGTTCGACAAGGCATAACTTCTTCGTTATAGTTCGGATTTCGGCGTTCTTTATATGTACGGAATCCTTGTAACATATGCTACAACTTTTATTAAGACTATTCATCCTAAATAATCTTCTATCAGAAAGTCGTTTTCGACACTTATTGTCTCTAAATTGACTAGCCCGGATCTACGGGCGTTACATGTTTGTATCTTTTTCAACACAATAGCATACTTTTTTAATATTAAATTTCTTTGACTTTGAATCAAATAACTAGACATGATAGTTATATTATTTTTTATGATAACACTGCAAAACTCTTTGGTATTCCAGCAACAAAGCACCATGTAAATTTGGTCAAACTTTTGTACCCATTTTATATGATCGAACAAAAAAAATGAAATCGTAATTGGTTTGGAATATGAAGTTTAAATTCTTGTATGCAAGGAGGGATGTAGGTCAAACTCGTGTGGTGTCAAAACTCTTCGAATGCCTATTATTCTCATAGAATTTAATAGACATATGATTTCCTATTTCTAATTCCGTTGATTTAGATTCTTTGATTTATGATTTAAGTGTTTTCATGTGTACATAATTATAGGGAAATAATTTCTGATGTTTGTTTTATTTTTTATCATATAGAAGAAAAGAGTACGATTTAAGTGCATTCTGTAGTGTATTCTGTCAAAATTTATTTGTATAAATGTATTTTGTCAGAATATCTTTAAGAATGTTTGTCAACAACAAGTATATTTGTTTAACTAGTAATACTAAATAGTAATGCTTGTTATTCTTTCAGAATGACTTGAAGAAGGAATCAAGTATTGATCATCAAAGAGAAAGGAATGGAATTGAGTTCAACAAGTATATTTGCAAAGAAGTATATCCTTACGATAACAAATCACATTTTCGTAAGAATAGTTGGAATCAAGTCAATTATATGGACCATTAAAGAAGATCAAGTGTATTTGTTTAATAATTGTATATTTAAGAATGCTATTTTTTAAGGATTTTAATTATTTTTTATGATATTTTGTTAGAATATGTATAACTATATATTAAAATGTATAAAGCTATTAGTCTGTAAGAATATGTATGAATTTGTATTTAAGTTCAAATGTATTTGAAGAATAAAATCATAGACAAAATCATAGACCCTCATTCTGACTTGGATGTATATGAAGAATGTATATAGAATTCTTAAATCAAGTTAATTATAAAAAATATCTGAATTGGAACTATATTCTATAAGAATAAAATCAGAAATATATTTACTAGTTTATAGCCGTCATTCTGATAGAATAAATTCGGTTATTATAAAAAATTATGTTAGAATTAGAATTGAACTAATTAAAAAAAAATCAGATTAAATTAGGAGAATTAATTATCACTAAAAATCCAAAAATTTCCTTTTTTAATATAGTTAATCATCCAAAATACCCTTATGTTGAAATTGTGTGATTATATGGTACATGTTATACCATTGTAATATCATGGACCATTAGATCATGACCATTAATTCTATTTATCCATTGGTCAAGAATTATGCTTACAAACACACAATAGATGTAGAAAATACAATAATATAACCCTATACACACACACAAACATATATATATATATATATATATATATATATATATATATATATATATAGCCTTAGGTTATTTTGTTTTTACTAATTATTGTGTGCAAGAATGAACAGATCTGGACCAACGGATGGAATTAATCAATGGACATGATTTGAGAGTCTATGATATTACAATGAGATAGCATGTACTATATAATCACACAAATTTTAGCAAAATGGTATTTTGGACAATTAACTACATTTATAATAGAAAATTTTTGGATTTTTAGGGATAATTAATTCTCTTAATTTTAAAAATCTGAAATTTTTTAATTAATTCAATTTTAATTCTAACGTAATTTGTAAACATAACCGATTTTATTCTGTCAGAATATTTTTTTTGTTAGAATGATGTTCTTTCATAATTTTATTATATATATATTATTAAAGAATAACAAAATTATTGAATCCGAGGTTGAAAAATAACAACATTCTAATTTATTCTTATACATCCGAACTTTAATACAAATTCATGCATATTCTTACATACTAAAAGCCTTATACATATCCTAAAAGAATATCAACAAAAATGAATAAAATTCTTAAAAAATAACAATATTCTTAAATTGTGAGTATGATCAAACTTTATTCATTCTTTAAGTTATTCCTTTTAGGTCTTCAACGCATTCTTCCAGCAATTCCTATCACAAATACAACAAAAACTAATAATGGTTAAAAACATGTTACTTGCAATTAACTATCACTTTATATATTTTGGTAGAATACATAGAATATGACAGAATACATACAGTATATTCTGGCAGAATACATAAATTTTATTCTGACAGAATACATAGAATACATTCAAAAGTATAGTATTTACTGCTAATATAATTTTAAATTCCAAATATACAATAACGAGGGACAATAGAAATTGGAGTTTAAAATCACAAATTGAACCAAAACAATACACAGACAAATTAATTACCTTTTTAAAGAATTACATAAAACATATGAGTATTCTAATATAACGGTTTAATGTATATTCTAACAGAATATTCAAATAAACTATTCTATCGGAATGATTTAATGTATATTCTAACAAAATGATCAAGTAGCACATTTATACATAAATTCTATTGATTAGTGAATCTTTTTCTTGTTTTTTGGTTTATACAAAAAGTTTAGCAATTAAAAGTAAATCCATAATTTTAAGATTTTGCTTCATTTGAAAAAATAAATAAAGGGAAGAAAAAGACAAGAAAAAAAATCCTTCACTTCAAAATACAAGTACCAGGATCATGGATAATTTCATTGTGATTATTTGAGAATGTGTCGATGCCATCAATTCAAATATTCAGGAACATAATTAAATACAATATTTTTTAATCTTGAAACTTTTCACAAATTTATAAAAAGGGTAATATTAAAGAATCATAATTACATATGCCTCGGATAAAACGAACCAATAATCCCCTTTGGGAACCTCTTCTTCTCTAAGCGATAGTGCCATACAACCACTAAAATTCTAATACATTAAAAGTTTTATTTTATTGGTTCGTTGATAATCTATTAAAAAAATAAAGAACTCAACGTGTGCAAAAGCAAATTGGAGTTGCGGAGATACTCGATCAAAAACGAAAAAAAACGAAATCTACAAATTAAATTCTTGCTATAGCCACCGCAAAATCAACAATTCACAAAATTGTGATGTTGCAATTTAGGTAACCAATGGAGGTTTCCGATGAGATTTTATTGTAAAATCAGAAATTAGGTTTAAAAATTAGAATTGAGTTCAAGAACATACCAGGGATAGTATGTTGGTGTACGGCAGTAGCTATAGACCGATTTCGGTGATGGAAGACGAAGCCAACGATGGAGATGGAGGAAAAAGAAGATACGACAGTGGCAAGATGAGGGATACAGAGGTATGTCTGCGACGATGATTATTGTTCAATGATCGATGGTTATAAAGAAGAGATATTAGGTCAACATATATTTATTTTGTTTCCTTAATTGCAAATGCAAAAAACCAGAAATACCTTATTGATTTAATTAATTATTTAATTATTTGCTAATTTATGATCGGTGTATTTAGGAACACAATAGTTGCTAGAAACATTTGAATATATATATATATATATATATATATATATATATATATATATATATAAAGAGAGAGAGATAAAGAGGGAGAGATTCCAACAAGGGTAAACTTGTGATGTTCAAGTTTCATGTTATGTACAAAAAAGTAGAAAGTATATATATATATATATATATATATATATATATATATATATATATATATATATATATATATATATATATATATATATATATTCTTTCTACTTTTTTGTAGATTACATGAAACTTATATATATTAGCTTTTTATCAAAAAAAACTAACATGAAAGAAGTGAAAAACAATAACGAATCTTACAATTTACATGAATCAGAATTAGATTAAGTCAAATCATAAATCAAATCAGATCATCAAAATTGATGTATAAAGTGTTAGAAATTTGGGGTATAGAAAGACTTGGAAATTCGGAGAATCATGCTAAACACTTTTAGATTAAAATATTTGGGTGGTACTCCCAATCTTCTTTAATCGGATAAGACTTAGAGAGACAAGATCATAGAGTGTTTTGATGATGTTTCGTATGTATCAGAAAAGGAGACCAAAAACCGATTTTAAGATCTCTGTTCGAAAACTATCATATGACAGTTTCAAACTGTCATAAACCACCAAAAACGGTCATAAAAATAGGTATTTGGATAAAGTCAAAATTGGGTCAATTCTCAAAAAACCAGATTTCTTATGCATTTTTATATAGTAACATAACCTATATAAAAAATTTCCACGCCAGGGGCTCTGCTCATTGGACCCCACAGGGGCTGCCGCCGCTTGGACCCCGCTCCCAGGGGTGCTACCTCCAGACCCCCGTTCGTTCAGGGGCTTCGCCATAAATGACAGTGTATTTTGAAACTTAATTAAACTTAAATAAGTGTGTACTCCACACCTTCCTTACTTGTTTAATATTTATCAAGTCACTTTTTGTTAACAAATTAATCTCATTACACTTAAATAACATTGATGATAACAAATCACCAACATAAAGAAAGATTGAAATCAGAAAATAAGAATCAAAATTAAAAATCAAAAGACTTCGTAATAAAAAATAGAATAGTTTTATAGAGTCCCTCGAACGATGGTGGTGAAAGACTTAATGCGATGATTATTCCAAAAGAATCGCACGCCCCTAAGTTTTTACTACTGATGTTGTTTTGACTTTAATATATCAATAGCAGTACATCTCATTTTGTCATGGTAAACAACTCAGGATTACATCTCATTTTGTCTCATCTTTAGATTCTCATTAAGCATTGTCGTCTGAAGTAGTTTCCTAACCAATACAATCTAATGTCTCCTCATTTTTTCAATCTGTATTTTCCACAAATTGGATTTTATAATCAAGTCACATGTTCGTTCAATTAAATAACAATATCTAACTTTAATATATCAACTAGAAAAAAACTCGGGCGTTGCCCCGGACCAGTTCTTGTTTGATAATATGCTTTCTCTACTTTGTTATAATGGATCTCAGTAGAATTATTTGAATATATGGGCATGTTGTAAATTGGATACGTAGACTTGTTGAGTATTATATATATATATATATATATATATATATATATATATATATATATATATATATATATATATATATATATATTATCCTTGAAAACGTGAAACGAATTTAAACCGTAATTTTCTTTTTTATTATTATTATTTTTTTGTTATATCTCAATAATACATAAAACTTTCTTGTTATTAATCGACAACTTTAAAAGATATGTGCTGAAAGTGTAAATCGCCACAAATAGGGAAGAAAGTCGACAACCCCTAAAATTAGATGCCAAAAGTGTACAACCAAAAGAATGGACACTGGTGGACAAAATCCAAAAAGTTGTGGCAATAGTGTGAAAGTTGCTAAAGTTGGAAAAATATGGTGGTAAAAGTCTAAAGGAGGTTTTTTGTGTTTTTTTATGTCAAAATGTAGAAGTTTTGACTGCAAAGATGAAAAGTGTCAAAATCACTAAAAATTTGTGGGAAAAACACCGAAATGTAAAAGTTTTTACTGCAAGGACAAAAAGTGTCAAAGTCGCTAAAGATTTGTGGCAAAAACCTAAAGGCACAAAAACTTAATCAAAACACAAAAATGTAAAAGTTTTGACTTCAAGGATGAAAAGTGTCAAATTCACCAAACATTTGTGGCAAAAACCTAATGGCAAAAACGCCAAAATGTAAAAGTTTTTATTACAAGGACGAAAAGTGTCAATGTCGCTACAGATTTGTGTCAAATTCACCAAACATTTGTGGCAAAAACCTAAAGACAAAAAGTTAATCAAAACACAAAAATGTAAAAGTTTTCACTTCAAGGATGAAAAGTGTTAAATTCACTAAACATTTGTGGCAAAAACCTAAAGCCACAAAATTTACTATTCATAAGGAATGGCTAGCTTTTATATATATATATATATATATATATATATATATATATATATATATATATATATATATATATATATAATAGGGTTTAAATTATGGAAACATGCCTCTCAGAAATTTTCCCTTAGCCTCCAGGCAAACCTGTAGGTTTAGGAAGTCTCAAAATATCACACTCAAAACTCTCGTATGTAATGAAAATATTCATGAACTTGCAGAAGAGAATAAAGACTTTATAATCTGAAGTGTAAAAGAGATGTACTTAAAAAATTGGAGGAAGAAAGCTTACCTTTACTCATATTAGAGAAAGCCTATATATAGGCTTACATGCATACATCACGGAAAAAAACAATGTAATTAAAATACTATTCTAATCCTAAAGACTAGGTACAATTGGATGACTTCTTCTTATACCCAAGGTGCTCTGACTCCAACTTACACATCATGAAGCAGTCAAACCCCTCTACCCACTTTTCTTTATTCAATCTTTAAATAAAATAAACCAAAATAAACTATTAACTAAAAACCATAAACTTATTAAGCTAGCAGCCATGCATGTGAACCTACGAATTAAACCTGATTAATCCCAACAGAACCGAGGCATAAGCCTTAAGGTGGAATGAAGCAGATTAAAGTGTTGGAATATCAGGCCCTTCTTTATGTGCTTTTGGGATGAAAAGAAGACAAACAAAAAATAAAGCTTTTAAAGAGAAAGTACTGCTGCATTCATTCAAGTAATAGGTGACTATTTATATAGCCAATACATACACTACTAGAAACTTGAGTTTCAGCTGGATTTTGCTACGGATTTGTTCTCTAGCAAAATTTAGACTTATAGCTAGGGAATTACAACAGATCTACCATGTTTTTGATAGTTATTTTATTTATTTAACATGTGGAATATTAGTGAGGATTTACCGAGGGATCAGCTACGGATCTCGCAAGTATTTATCGATGCACCACTATCCCTTGCTAATCAGTCGAAAAATGAAGGGCCTTAGCTAGGGTTCAACGAGGGATAAAAAAATTGCGCCAGCTGGTACGCGTTTAGCGAGAGAACGTCGACGGAAACTATATTTTGGGTATGTGCGTTTTGTTTTTTCTATCGCCAATCTCTAGCTGAAATTGGCACAACCCAGTTCCATCTTCACGAAATGCATTGAAAATTCTGGTACGCGTTTCCTTCCCTCCAGCTTTATCACTCTGGACTCTGGACATGATTTTTGAACAGATGACGGCATAGAAGTTCCCTTCAATCTGTTAACCCAATTCCATCTCACAATCTCTGTTTGAATAGATGACGGCACTACTCACCCGATTCCGGCAACCTCCACATTTTTAAAGCTTAAAGTATTCTTCGTTAACTTTCCGATTCAGGTAAATCTCATCCCTCTTAGGTTAGTTTTAGTTCAATTGCACAATATACTTTGTTAGGGTTTAATTTCTCATTTTTTCTTTTTCAATCGATGTCCCTCTTATCTCTCAGCATTATATACATGAATCACCTTGAAAGTTAGAATTAAAACTTGATTTAGGGCTTGATTCATCATAGTTTGTCATCCAATTTATGAGAATTTAAGGATTCAGGAACACCAGTAGCCAATACCTTTAGGTTTTCCCCAATTCTCTTTCATATTTAGGAGGTGGTCTCTCTGATAAGTCCTATTCCCTTTTGAGGTCTTGAAGTTGATGTGGTCTCTCTGATAAGTCCTATTCCCTTATGAGGTCTTGAAGTTGATGTGGTCTTGAATCATGATGCTGACTTCTACTGCCAGTTGCTGCTTCACTTGGAGCCATGTTAAGGCCAGTGGTACTTGTCACAGGAGCAGCAGCAGCATATACAGATTTTGAAGCCAACACTCTCATCTTCATGCATCTATCTCTCATCAAACCATGTTTCATCTTATGCCCTTGCATCCACACATTTTCACAGATCCTCTCAAGGGCACAGAATCATAATCTTCTTCTTCTACTTCATAGAAAATTACCAAAATACCCCCCGAAAGACTTGTTATAGGATGCTCACATGTTCATCATCTGATTCTGATGTTTGCAAACACTCTTCTGGATTGGCATAAAAGTAATCTTCTTCTTTGGGTTTATTTGAAATAACCAATCTTTTTGTGGGATTTCCCAATCTTTCTTGATGAACTTGTTTTACGGAAATGGAAAATTCATCCCAATTTAAAATTCCATTTGTGTATTTGTCTATTAAATCCACCAAAAGTCTCTTATCCAATAGAATTGTCTTCTTGAATCCCAAAAATCTGAAAAACCATTTTCACATAATTAATTAGCTTCATTTCAATTCCAAGATAGTGTTTTGTTTGCAACAAAGGAATGGAATATGATATGTTATAAATAAATTCACAATTATGAATTAGTTTTATTTGTATATATATTCTTTAATAATACCACTTCCACTTGTGTTTTTAAAAAATTTCAAAACTTTAATTTATTAATTTTTACTTTACAAAAGTAGGTAGAAGTATTTTTTAATATTATAATTCTATTTCAAGATTTCATGGTATGTGATCTTACATTTTTTTGTTAACAATTTTATTACATTTTTTGTTAACATTTTTTTGTTAACAATTTGGGATTCTATAACAGTTAGCTTAAAATGTTTTGTTTCTTTTTTGGACTGAATGAATTGTTTGAATAAAATAAATGACCAATTTACCCTCTGTCAATAAGTGATGTCTTTCGATTACCTTTTCCTATGAGGTTTTACCAACCAACCTATTAATATTGTGTTAATATACAGGGAAAGTGTTTGAGTTTGACAATTTGTCAAATGTCTTAAATACCCTTTGAAAATGAGAAGACAGGGGAGTGTTTGGGATATATCACCAAACTTACTGTGAGTTCATGTTGTTGTTTCCACCACCTTCATTTTTTTTCACTTCTGATACAAATTCAAATTATAAAAATCAATGCTTTTTTATGTGGCATAAATTAAAATTAGTGAAGAAAATAAATAAATCCAATTACCATATCTTCTGGAGTCAATGCTGGAATCACTTTCCCCTGATGATGATGGATTTCTTGATGGAGTTCGTGTGCTGGAATCTGAATTTATGATTGCATTATCATCAGCAGAACTATCATCACTGTTATCCCCAAATATTGTTCCAGGTGTACCCAAATATTGTTCCAGGTGCACATTTTTCTTCATGTTTTTAATCTTTTTTTGACTTTTCAAAGACCTGCCAAATGATTCTGATTCTGAGCTTGAGTCCGATTCACTAAATGATTCTTAATCTTTGTTGTCATTTTTTGGGTTTTTACTTTAGTAACATTAGGGGCATTTTGGTCTTTTGCTACACCTCCATCTGTAGAAGCTTCTGGAATCTTCTTTGAGGACAAGGCTTTGTTGTTTTCATCTTTTTGTTGAATAAAATATAAAATTTTATGATGCAAAATAAAAATATGACACATACCAAGCATCTAGTTGTACAAAACCTTATATCAATATACATATATAATATTTTAATATGAATAAATGATATTAGTAAAAACCTGCAATAATTTCTCTCCATTTGGATCCGGATCAACCGTCTTAACATTTCTTTTCCCATATTTGGAAACACCAACATTAGCTTCCTCATTCTTCACTTCCGCCTCCTGAACAACCATTAAAACATATATATATATATATATATATATATATGTCATGCACAAGGGCAAAACCGTAAAATCACATGAAAAACAAAATATACCTTTTTTGCCCTTGCTTCAGCCTTCCTCTGTTTTTGCCTCAGTTTCTTCTTTTGTGAAGCAGGCATTTTTGCCAGCTCATCATTTTCTTCGGTTGATGATGTCGGAGGAAAATCATACAACTTGATATAACATCTGTATAACAACATTAACTAAAAAAAATTAGGTACAAGAAATTAAAATATATAAAAAATTATTTTTTTTGAAAAGATTGTATAGTATTACATTAGATAACAAAAGATATGCAAATGACACTTTAGGTCCCTGTAGTTTTAATATTCTGGAATTATATTTTTAGTACCTGTAGCTTTAAATTTCAGGAATTACACTTTTGGTCACTATGAAAGTGGGAAATAAGCAAAAGACACTTTTGGTTCCTATAGTTTTAGTTTTCCAGAATTATATTTTTGGTCCCTAAAGTTTTTAGTTTGCGGGAATTACATTTCTGGTCCTTGTAGTTTATTTTTACAAAATTACATTTTTAGTCCCTGTAGTTTTTAATTTGCAAAAGTTAAATTTCTGGTCCCTGAAGTTTTAAATTTCTGGAATTACCATTTTGGTCACTATGAAAGAGGGAAATAAGCAAGACACTTTTGGTCCCTATAGTTCTAGTTTTCCAGAATTATCTTTTTGGTCCCTGAAGCTTTTAGTTTGCAGGAATTACAATTCTTGTCCCTGTAGTTTTAATTTTCCAAAATTACTATTTTAGTCGCTATAGTTTTTGGAATATGATTGCATAGTTATAATAAAAATAAGTATTTCATATAGTATAATTGTAGTTTCCAAGGATGCTTTTAGTAATGTGGATATGATTGCATTATCTAATTTCTAAATAGTAGTTATATATTTGGTTGTAGCTAGTCATTATGTCAACATGTAGTGATAGAGACTGGATGTACAAAAGGTTAGATCATGGGTATCTTAGCACAACATATCATGCATCCGTCAAAGGATTTCTGGATGTTGCTTTTTCTAATGAAGCAACCGTTGATGGGGATTATATTAGATGTCCTTGTTCTAAATGCAAGAACATGTATTATAAAACAAGAGGTGATGTAGAGCTTCACTTGTTACAAAACGGTTTCACTCCTAATTACACAACTTGGTGGGCACATGGTGAAAGAAATACGATATCTCAGCATGAGGAAGAATCTTCTAATCCGATGCAGGATCCAATGGAAGATGATGATGATGATGATGTTAATGGGTGTACACAAATGTTGATGAATGTAATGGAGGAATTCCCGAATCCAACTGCCAAGGGGTTCTATGATATGTTGGAAGACGCTGATGAACCTTTGTGGGATGGATGTGAAAATTATTCAAAATTACAAGCTGCAACAGAGTTGTTGCATTGGAAGTCAGAATACAATATATCTGAGGCTGCCTATGATCACATACTTCCTATAATTAAGCGGATGCTACCCAAAGGTGAGAAACTAGTTGAGAACTTCTATGAGACGAAGAAGCTTTTGAAAATAATTAGACTCCCATAAAAAAAGATCCATGCTTGCAAAAACCATTGCATGATATTCTATGGGGCAGATTCTGATTTGACTAAGTGTCGAGTGTGTGATCATGATCGGTACAAGAGTGACAGACTGCCTTATCTGGTTATGAGGTACTTGCCGATTGCTCCTAGACTCCAAAGGTTGTATTTGACAAAAAAGACGGCAAAGAAAATGACATGGCACTATGAACATCAAACAGAACCGGGTTTGATGGTCCATCCAAGTGATGGTGAGGCTTGGAAGCATTTCGACTCAATGCATCAAGAATTTTCAAGTGAACCACGGAATGTTCGCCTTGGGCTATGGACCGATGGGTTCAGTCCAAATAACTCAAATACAACCCCGTATTCATGTTGGCCTGTTTTCCTTTCAATTTATAACTTGCCTCCTTGGATGTGCTTAAAAGAACCATATATTCAGTTAAGCATAGTTATTCCTGGAAAAAAGAGCCCAGGTCAAAATATAGATGTGTTTCTCAGGCCGCTAATTGACGAGTTAAAGATGCTATATACAGACGGTGTTGTCACTTATGATGCTTCGACTAAATGCAATTTCACAATGAAAGCTATACTTCTTTGGACAGTTAGTGACTTTCCTGCTTATGCAATGTTATCGGGATGGAGCACACATGGCAAGTTAGCATGTCCGTATTGTATGGGTGAGTCGGGGTCGTTTCGGTTACACCATGGTAGTAAACCATGTTGGTTTGACTGCCATCGAAAATAATTTTTACCTGAACAACACACATATAGGGGTGACAAAACAGGATTTCTGGCTAATAAGGTTGAGAGATCTAGCCCCCCACCAATATTAACCGGTGATCAGATTTGGGAGCAAGTACGACACTTTCCAACTGTTTATGAAGGCAAACCTTTTAGAGCAAAGAATGCAAAATTGCCTGGTTTCGGGATTACTCATAATTGGGTTAAGAGGAGCATCTTTTGGGAGCTACCATATTGGCGGAAGTTGTTAATACGACACAACCTTGATCCCATGCACATTGAGACAAATGTGTTTGAAAATCTTTTCAACACCGTGATGGACACTCCAAAAAGCAAAGACAACATGAATGCAAGAAAAGATATAGAAATGTATTGCAATCGAGTGCAATGGCATACATGGAAGAAGGGAAATAAGGATATGAAAAAGAGAGTATCGTTTGCTTTGAGCAAAGAACAAGTAGCTAAAATATGCCAATGGTTGATTAAACTTAAATTCCCGGACGGATACGCCTCAAACTTGGGGGGGGGGTGCGTTAATGTAGATGATAATAGCTTTTACAAATTCAAGAGTCACGAGTGCCATGTATTTCTTCAAAGATTGTTGCCTATTTCTCTAAGAGGTATGGTGCCAAATTCAACATGGGATGCAATTACAGAGTTGTGTACATTCTTTCGTGTAATATGTTCAAGGGTGTTACGCGTAGATGACTTACAACGCTTGCAAACTACTATTGTTGAAACCATTTGCAAGTTAGAAAAAATATTTTCACCTGGATTCTTTGACTCAATGGAGCATCTTGTTATCCACTTAGCTCGAGAAGCTATGCTTGGTGGTCCGGTTCAATATAGGTGGATGTATCTTTATGAAAGGTATATTTTTTACCATAAAAAAGATTCTACCATAAAACCTATGGAATTTCTAATAAGCCTTTTCCAACATCTTTTTAGGAAGTTGGGATCAATGAAAAGAAAGATAAAAAACCATGCGAAGGTTGAGGGGTCCATTGTTGAGGCTTACATGATTGGAGAAATATCGACTTTTTGCTCACAATACTTTTTGCCTACAATTGAAACCCGGTTGAATCGTGAGTCGCGTAATTTTGCCCCAGACATTCCTAGTTATACCATGGTCGACTCTCGATTAAGCATTTTCAAAGTTCCATCTCGAAGATTATTCGAAAAAAGTGGTCAACGGAGGCCTTTGACAGATGATGAGATGCGTATTGCTCATAATTACATCTTGATCAATTGTGTTGAGGTTCTACCTTTTTTAAGGTATGTCAAGTTATCTATTTTTCCTTGATGTCGTGAATCTCTAAAATGTTTGTTATTTTTTAAGGTTGTTTGAAAATTATGTGATCCAAAGCCAACCTGATATGGATGATGGAGCATTTGAAAGGTTTAGGGATCAACATTTTGCTAAGTGGTTTAAAGATCATGTGAGTATGATACGAGAAAAATTTGTATTACCAAAGTGTCTTCCCCCGTGAATTAGTTAACAAATGAATTTATCAATGTAGGTTTTTCAACAATCAAATGATATCAGTAGTCAACATCTGAAATGCCTTGCACGAGGACCATTACGACATGTTAGGTCCTATAAAGGATACTTTGTCAATGGTTACAAGTTTCATACTGAAAAATATGGTGATGGACGGGTCACACACAATAGTGGTGTATGTGTAAGAGGGACTTGTTACAATGAGACTGAGTGTGACTATTATGGGTTGTTGGATGAGGTCTTGGAAGTAGAATATCAAGGCATAGGGCGTTGCGTCGTAGTATTGTTCAAGTGTATATGGTTTAACCCTACTGAAGGGGTACGTGTGGATCGAAAGCATAATTTGGTTGATATTAAATACAAATCAAGGCTAAGAAATGAAGATCCGTTTATCCTAGCGTCACAAGCAGAACAAGTGTATTATGCACCATATCCTGCAATGAAGGATTTGAAAGATTGGTGGGCTGTCGTCAAGACGAAACCAAGGGGTGTATATGATCTACGACAATGTGTTATTGAAGAAGATGATGATGAGGATGAAGAGGACCAATTCTTTCAAGAAAGTGAAGCGACTTTACCTTCTACAAGTAGCGGTGCAAATGAGGTGGCAGGACCCCTTTCTCATGTAATTGAAGGAGAAATAGAAGAAGTTAATGACAATGACATTGAGAGAGAAGAGGATGAAGAAGTTGATGATAACTTGGATGATTCATCCCAAGATGATATTGAAGATGAAGACAACATATGTGATGATAATTCTGATGATGAGTAATTACTAAAAATGTAGAATGAAACAATGTATTTGGAACTATATATTGCCTAATGGACCTTATCAATAACTTTTTAGCTAAAATGATCGTTTTCTTTTTCTATATACATTGCACTTTCATTTATTTGTGTATTATAGCATGTTACCTTCTCTTACTTCTATAATTTTCTATTATAATACATACTTGTTCTAACAAATAGTTTATTAATTCTTGATTTTAAGGGTTATCTTTTGACTAATGGCGCCACGAGGAGCCCGTGGTGGTGGTCGCAGTGGTAGTCACATTGGTGGTCGTGATGCTGGAGATAGAAATGCATCTCAATCACACGATAATGCAGAAAGTCAACCTTCTTCTTCAGTTAGAGGATCAAACATCTTGGAACAAGTTCCAAGTAACCCATCAAAAAGGAAGTTCATTGAAGTCGATTCTGAAAGCGAGTACTAATGTTAATTTTACAATTGTTTATGAAAATGAATTTACTTGTTAATGATAATACTAATGCTAATTTTTTTAATTATTTATTTTTTGCAAGATTTACGGATCAGATTTCAGTGATCAGAGCCATCACATGTATACTGAAGACGATGTTTGACGGCCCATGGACCTCATGGAAGAAGGTTGACAAAGAACATCGTGATGCAATGTGGGAACACTTCAAGGTTTGTACTTATTATTTTTATGATTTATCAAAGTAAAACTTGGTGTAAAATGAAAAAGATAATTGTATGCGTGATCTACATGTAGGGTTTGTATGACTGGCCCGAAGAGATTGATGTTCTTGCTCGCAATGTATGGGAAGACTGTATGAAGAAAAGATTTCCTGACATAATGCGAAGAGCACGTGAATAATCTTTAAAACTTGCCAAAGCTGCAAATGTGAATGCCTCACTAGAAGGTGATTTAAATTTGCTAAAGGACTATCACCCAAATTGGATAAAAAAGGAGTATTGGGAAAAAATGATCAATGAAGCGTGGACCACATCCAAATGGAAACGTTTATCACAATCAGGGAAAAATAACAGAAATAAATTAGAAGATGGCTCTGTTTCCAAACATACCGGGGGTTCTATATCTATTCGTCAACATAAGAAAAGAATGGTAAGATGTTTGCATCTCACCTTAGTTTCCACTTAGACTATTGAGTTTTTGTTTTGTTTTTTAATGTATTACTAATGGATTTTGTAGCAAGCAACACTTAAACGCCCTCCTACAGGAGTTGAACTTTATGCAAGGTTGCACACTAAACGGTCTACTCAAGAGTACATTACACCAAAGGCAACTAAAGTTAAGGTATTTTCAATTCTTTTGTAGGAAACAAAACTTCCTACTACTCGGGTTAATAACTTTGTTAAAGCAACAAATTAACAGAAAACAAATCTTTCGTAAGTAGTAATCAACTTACAAAAGAAAAGAAACAAATTATTATCTCTAAATGTTTGATCCTCTGCCTAGTTGTAATCAAGTGTTTTGTAAGTAGTAATCAACTTTATGTAAGGTTTGAGTATTAATTAATAGGAGGCTTATGAAGTGGTTCATTCCATTCCTTGATTATGAATTTAATGGAATGGAATGAACCATTCCATTCCTTATTTCATGTTTATGTTTTTTCATATTTTTTTTTTGCTATAATAGGAGGCTTATGAAAGTGCTATGGTGGCTAAGTTTGGTGATGATACTAGTTGCCACCCCCTTTTGGATAATGAAACATGGTGTGATGTTTCCGGAGGAGTCAAGAAATGAAGAATATATGGATTCGGATCTGTGTCTGATCCAACGAGCTTTTTGGAAGGAACATCTAGTACAATAACATCCCAAGAGGTTCGTTTAATTTTGTACTTTATAAAAATTTCCTATCATAGCATTGTACTTACAAAGTTTCCTATCATGGCATTGTACTTACAAAGTTTCCTATCATGGTATTGTACTTACAAAGTTTCCTATCATGGCATTGTACTTACAAAGTTTTCTATCATGGTATTGTACTTACAAAGTTTCCTATCATGGCATTGTACTTACAAAGTTTTCTATCATTGTCCTTTAGGTTGTCTATGAACGTGTACGAAACGAGATGCGTGGGGAAATGGATGCTAAAGCTGCAGAAATGGAAGCTAAACATCAACAAATGCGTGAGGAAATGGATGCCAAAGCTGCAGCAATAGATGCCAAACAACAACAAATTGATGCAAAATATGAAGCAATGGAGAAGATGTATGCAACCTTGCAAAATATGATGGGAAATTGAAAATTAGAGGTAATATGATGTTAACCATTAATATTTGATGTTTTTGAATGACTTGTTAACCTTTTGTATTTGATACTTTTGATTGTTTTGAATAATGTTTTATAGGAATGAGAACCGAAGATGATTGGATGGACATGAAATGAAGAGAGCAGCTAAAATGTTATTTTGAAGTTATGTTTTGTGAAAACTCATTTCCCGATGCATACTTTGGATTTCTTGGTGCTAAAATGTTATTTTGAAGGTTAAACTTTTTTTTTTGTTTGTACCTCTTTTGCATACTTTGGATTTCTTGGTGCTAAAATGTTATTTTGAAGTTAAACCTTTGGGAGTTTGATGTTATATGGATAGTTTTGGTTTTGGATGTTTTTTGAATGATACTTTGGTAAACTTTGATAGTTTTGGTATTGTAATGTTTGGTTGTATTGTTATTCGATGTTTTTTAGTATAAAAATTTGATGATTGTAGTATTTTTTTCTTTTAGAATCATAAAAAAAATGATATTACAAGTTCGCGACGGATTGGTGAGAATAAAAAAAGTATTTTAATGCATCAATTTTGCGAGGGATTAGCTACGAAAAAAATATCATGTCTAAAGTTTGCGACGGATCAGCGACGGAACAAAAAAAAATTAATGTATAAATTTTGCAAGAGATTAGCTATGGAAAAAACCATGTCTAAAGCTTGCGACAGATCAGCGACGGAAAAAAAAATCAGTATATGAATTTTGCAAGGGATTTGCTACGGAAAAAAAAACTGTTCACGGAAATTTGCGACAGAACAGCGACGGAATGACTTTATCAAATTTTGTCGCTAATGCCCTGAGTAAATGTATTGAGTGACATTTAGCGACGGATATTCTGTCGCTACATTTGTCGCAAGAAAAAACCTCTCCGTCGCTAAAACCCTCGCTGAGAAATTAGCCACCTATTAATTACCTATGGAGTGAATCCGTCGCTGATCCATCGCAAACAACATTTAGCGACGGAATAGCGACGGATACTTCCGTCTCTAAAACCCATGTTTCTAGTAGTGATACTAACTTTAGTAGGAACCAGTAAACCCACGTTCCCTCTTTTCCAGGTGAAACCCAACTCTCTACTATTCCCTAATACTCGGTCCTACAAGACCCATTCAAATCACAATCTACTACCATTTATTTAACTCACTAAAATAAAATAAATACTAAATTACTACTAAAACAAGCTGTGAAGATTAAAATCCAACATAAAGAAGTAGCATTCACTGACCAGTAATAATAATATTCCAAAGTTCTGACAAATTAAAAAAATAGTAGTAACAACTAGCAGTAAGAAAAAAAATATATATAAAAGTAGCGAACAGTGTTACAGAAATGTAGCCAACTTAGCACTAAAATAACAAAAAAAAAAAAAAAAAAAAAAAGAAGCATTCATCATAGGGAGAAATCGAACAAATAGAGACCAATCAAAGAGAAAGTCCTGAAGGTTTTCTTCTTGGGTGAAGAAGTTTAAAATCAAAAGACAGAAATCAAGAAAGTGAACCGTCTCGGGAAACCTGAAATCCGTATCAAGGTGAAGCTCTAACATGTTTTTAATTTGTATTTTTCCAAAATTCATACAACCCGGACATATTAGTTTCACAAGGCTTATTTTTTATGAAATTTATAAGTTGTATCCAATTTACAAAAGTTAACTTGAACTCACCAAAACGTCCCAACGATATATCCTCTGCCTATGTTTACACCAAAACGAGTCTTTTCAGCACTAACCAGACTCCATTTGAAACACCACGGTTGGTAATCGGTAAATGACTACTTATAATGTTATGTACCAATAATGAGTTTCCTAAGTATTTGGTGCTCAAACATAGCAATACACAAATTCAAATACTGGCAAGCATACTTGGATTTTCTCAACAAACACACAGCAGCGCACAACAGACCACCCCCCTGTTTCACTTTCTTTTTTGTATCCACAACACATACACACATCATAAGACTCATTTCCCTCCAAATTCCATTCGTTTATAACATACACATCAGCATATTAACTTCACAGACTGTTTAATTTGATCATCTAACTACACTAATTCCCAAACTATACAACTTTGACTAAAGTAGGTCAAAATACGTTTCTAACATTCCTAATCGAAATTTTTTAACTCTATGATAATTAAAATTCACTTAATAAATTATATAAAACTTCATTAACGGCTTAACGCTTCCATTTCTTTCTTGATAACTTATAATTCATCAAGTTATCAGTTTAGGGAACGTACCTTAAATTCCCAGGAGCACCAAACTTTTAGCAGACGCCCTTTCTAAGCTCTTCACTTTGCAAGCTTATACTTCAATTTCGGCAGAATTCTTTCCTTAATTTCTCTTTCAACTTGGATCAATTTGAGTAGGGTCGGTATCTTTCCTCTATAGTTGTGTTTGGGATTGTTTAAAAACAGCTTTTTGACTTTTCACTTTTCAAAAAAGTCAAAAAGTGCAAAAGATGTTTGTTTAAGTTAAAAAGTTCTTTTTAAATTTTAAAAGTCACAAAAACGTGACTTTTGAGACTTTTGTACTTCTTAAAAGCAATTTTTGTCTTTTTACCATCCAAACACATTTTAAACCTTAACTTTTCAAAAAAGACCTTTTACAAAAAGTTCTTATATAAAAAGGACTTTAGAGCTAAAAAAAGTTATCACAAACACCCCCCCTAGAAAGGGTATGTGAAAGTAATTATAATAAGAGTATGTTACAATTTTGGTCCTTGAATTCATCTTTTCTTTTCTTTCTTGTTTTAGGTTTTGGTCCTAAAATAAATTAAATTGCAGTTTTGATTCTTATATTCATGTTGTATAAAGATTTTGTTCATCGGTTGTTGTTAGGATTAACCACCGTTTAATCTTGATCAGACACCGTCACCAGTTACCAATGTGCAAAACAATACCGTTTTTTCACTTTTTCTATCCGTTACCATTTAAACGACTTTAGTGAGACCCCACTTATGCCACATAGGATGCCACGTAGATAGGGGAAACGGCTAACCAGATGCAGGAGGTTTGTAATGAGCAAAACATACAAAGTTTCAAAACTCATGGTCTAATTTAGCGTGATTTGATGTTTAGTGGCTAAATCGAGTCAAAATCGAAAGTTGCATGGTCATTTAAGTCAAAGTCCTAGAAAAAAAACATAACATTGTCCAAAAAGTGGATGCCACGAAATCTAATATTGACGCACATTTTGTTAGACTCGTAGGAGACCAATTTTTACTAAAGATGGGATATTATTAAGTTTTATCTTCAAATCACTAACATATTTTAGGATTAGCACTTCTTGATTGTTGTTTCTCGTACGCGATAGATTTCCATTTGACCCCTTTCATCCCTTTTCCACAATATTAGTTTCTAGGATCTATAGGGACACCATTTAATTACAAGATAGAGATTTGAACACATAACATGAACAATGTTTAGCAAGCACGTAACATTATTATCGTCAATTATTTCTAAAAAGTATTTTAAGTCAGGATGTTGGAAAGATAAACAAATGTTATCTGCTATACATAACTTCTTGCCTTTAAATTAAACAACCAATAAAGGTTTATATCTTAGGGAAAATCTAAACCATAATTTATCTACTCTATCTTATGTACTAGTTAATGTCATTGACTATTTTTCACGACCCTAAACATAAAAAAAAAAAAAAAAAGAACCTACGAATAACTTGTGGGACGAACTCATTTTGGCTAAGAAAATAATGTCTGAAGGGTTGAATATCACTGTGAAAATTACATTTACAAAACGTCTCATATTTATATAAATCCCAAATAAGCAATACCTATAACAGTTATATTTTACAATTAATAGATTTAGTTTTTTTTTTCGTAAAAGGTATGATGACATACGAAATAATTTCAATGCAAATAACACTTAGATATTGGTTCCAAAGTTAGTTTTTGCTAGCTCCCATCCAATTGTAGAACAACAAGCTTCCCAGGTTGGAAACTGGCTATCGAATTTTGTAGGATAACAAGACCAACAAAGAAGGTGCAACTCATTAGAAAGACAATTGGGCCCTTCAACATTGTTGGTGAATTAAAGAAGAAAAGCACATAGAAGGGACCTTACTTAGCTTCTTCTTGTTTTTAACAAGCTTAGAAAAACGTGATGAAGACCTTTTATGTATTTATTATCTCTTTTAATCTTGTCCTTTGCCTGCAATACAGAAATAAAATGATGCAAGTGTTGAGATAGAATATACCTGATAAGCATGTCTATGAAAGAGCTGAATAGCATCATTATGTGATAATAAGCTGGCACCATACATCACATCATGTATACCATGTGATTTACAGTGAATGTTAATTTCTAGTCGTGATTACTGTTAGCCCCCTCATCGTACCAATCATGTAATCCACCTAGCACCTCTATTTGGTCAAGGTCAATGACATCATCGAGAGCAATTAGAGCATTTCTATAACATAAACCTAATTCTGATCTTGCATCTTCTTTCTTCCTTGCTGTATTATGTTAGACTATAATATTGTGGTAGTTAAAGGCAGTTATGATATAGAGGTGGTGCTTTCCTTTCCTGTATAAATAAATACGAAGTGTAGTCATATGAATTAGCTTAAAGTTTATATACAAAGCATTCTCTCTCAATACTCAAAATATTTTATGGTATCATCTTCAGGACATCTGTTCTCCTCCCTTTGCAATTTGCAATTTGTTTCTGGATGTATGCAGTGTAATCACAACCATAAGTTCAGAGTCACTCAGACTATACGAACTGGGAAAGAGTCAACAGACGTCCTATGGGTGTATGGTTTTGTTAGATGTTTTTCTAAGCTTTCCATATAATATTGATAGAATACTTTGAATTATCTTGGATCATAAATGCTTTATATTCATCATTTTCCTCATGCCAAAATTCTGAGCAATCTGTTGCAACTTTGGTTGTTTGCACGGGATCATCTTTACTTTTTCTAGGAACGAGCTCAACTGAAAACGAAGTCCAATTGCTCTTTATGGAAAATGAAATAATACTGTATGATGAATTCAATGATGTGGTTTGCCTCAATGAATTAAAGGAAACATATCCCACAGATGTCTTCACTTCTCCATCAGATTCAGGCTCTCGTGTTTCATTAGACTCATGCCAAATCTCAAACCGAGAATCTTCTTCATCTGGATCCTTCTTGATGCTTATGTCAATCTCCATATCTGTGTCCTGGAATATAATGCGTATTAAGAACCCACAAAAGTCATTGCACCAATCATCTGGAAGACGCAGTCTAAACTTTTCTTCACCAGATTGAATATGCCTTTTATATGGGTCCCATTTAACATGTGGGAGACGCTTTGTAAATGTTTTTCCCCTAAAGAACCTCCCTACAAACCCCTTTGGAATCTGATATGGAATGGTGAAACTGATAAAATGATCTTCAATAGCATTCCCCTGCCGTGGAAAACACATTCATTTATCTTTATGCAATTGGGTTAATTAATATGATAAAGAACAAAATTCAAAAGGTACGTAGAGTATAGAGCCAAACCTGGAGCATGGAGCCTAGTAATATCTCACCAACACGTGGACCTAATTTGTAAGCCCCCCAAAGTGAGACTTTCCACAACCATTTACAGTTTGAGATATCTCCAAAGCTTTCAAGTGAGTCACAGCAATCCGCTCTAACAATAGCTATACTTTGTGGCAGCTCTGACAATTCTACAAGTTCTTTGCAGAATGCCACGTCGAGCCATTTGAGCCGAGGAAATTGCAAGCAACTAAAACTTAACTGTGAAAACTTATTTCTGAATAGATTGAGTTCTTGCAAGTTGGGCAACTCCAAAACATCAGAGCCTATATCTTCATCTCCCAAATTGCACTCGCTCAGATCCAACTTCCTTAAGAAGTGGAGTTCTTGCAAGTTGTGAAACAAAACTAAGAATATGCTGCGACATAAACAAGGCCCCTCTACACAACCTTCCACACCAGGAAGATCACTGCAACCACACCTCAGACAAGTAACAACATAGTTTGTACTAGATTCTATGTAGGGTGCAACTTCGCTCCCACTATTATCATCCAAATCAAGATGTGTTGAATTCTCCATCCTCTGATGGTGGATCTTTGGAAACTTAACATGTTTGGGGTGCTCTGTGAATTCAAGGATCTCGAGTTTCTTTATTCCCCTAATGGGTGGAAATATCTTAAGACTCCGACAATTTTCTATAGATAAGAAAACAAGCTTTTCCAAGCATCCAATTGATGGATGAATTTCTTCTAAACACAGACAGCCACCAAGAATGAATCTTTCAAGATTTGGAAGTCCATTAAAATTTGGTGTCATGATTAGCTTATTCATATGGCTAAGTTCCAATAACTTCAAACTTGGGAGCACCTGTTGAGTACAAGTGCAAACAAGTCAAAAATGTATCAAGGTGACAAGATTTGAAGGAAAATGGCACACACACAGACAGACACAAACACACTCAGACAAACACAAATGGAAATCATCTGAAGTGTTCAATTGTTTAATAAAGTATCTATAAATCACTTGACAAAAACAAAGATAATAGAAGATCTTTAAACCCAAATCAGTGATATCAATATTTTATAGTGGTTTTTAATCAACAAACAAATAGATTGAAATCATATTTTGAAAAATTTATAGTTATCAAGACAAAGGACATTCACAGAATAAAGGTCCATGTGCTTTTCAATACTATAGATAATTGAAGTATACTCAGGATTAGTCATGTCTGTAATTCATGATCAAATTTGTTTTCATCTGTTAATTATATAAAGTGATGAACAATACAAACTACCTTACAACCCTCCCAAAGTTGCTTTTGAGAGCCTGCGGACAATATAAGACAGCAAAGCTCCCTTAGTGGAAGGTCAGTAAACAAATATTTTGCAGGATCCCCTATCGATTCCATATACCGAAGGTTCTTCATGTTTGCAGAAACCGAATGAAGATCTTGTTCTTGTTTTTTTGCTTGCTTTAACGGGAAATCCATTTCTATTGCTTCAATCTTATCAAGTTCCTGCGATAGAGGAACAAAATGGTGTCATGATTCAGGATTGATTCAAAAGTGATTGTTTATACATACATAATATATCATGCTAAGCTAGCTTAAACATTACCGTGGTTGCATCCATAGCACATATTTTTAAAACATCTTCCAAATCCAAATCCTACTATGTTTTGCAGGGTTCTTAGGGTGTTCCCCTCTAACAATATAGTGTCCCATTTCTTGCACCAGATCATGCATATCAAAATATCCATCTTCTGAAATAGTTATGAGAGCCTTTTGTATCAACACCTTTACTCCTATAACTGGATGAAAACCACAAGCATCAAAGATCCCCATTGCATTGTCTTTGTACTTCCCCCTAAAGAAACATGCAATATCAAGGAACAACTCTCTCTCAACCTTTGTGAGTCCATCAAAGCTGATTTTTAGCGTTTCCAGAATATTATCATTTGGAATCTCTTTCAGTCTGGCTAATGCACTCCTCCACTCATGAATATTTTTGTCACACAGAAATGAACCAAGAATTGTAAGTGCTAATGGAAGCCCACCGGCATAAGAGACCACCTCTTTTGAAAGCTGCTCATAATTTTCCAGGGGTGTGTGATCTCGGTGTGCATGCTTGCAAAATAGCTTAATAGCCTCATCACTGTTTAACAATATAATAATATGTGTCACATTTACTCTGTGTGCATTTAATACATGCTCATCTCTAGTTGTCATTATTACTCGGCTTCCTTCACCAAACCAATCATGTGATCCGGCTAATGCTTTTAGTTGGTGAAGCTGATCCACATCATCAAGAACAATCAAGACCTTTCTATGACATAACCTATTTTGTATCATGCGTCTTCCTTCCTCAACTCTCTCTATTCCCTGCACTTCCTTTTGTTTCAAAACACCAGAAAGAATTTTTTTTTGCAAGCTTACCAAACCATTAATCTTGCTTGATTCCTCCCGGATATTTTGTACAAAGCAACAACCATCGAACTTGCTAGAGATTTCATCATAAATAGAAGAAGCAAGAGTAGTCTTACCACCACCCCCAACCCCCCATATTCCAATCATGAGCACACCACCTGACCCAATTTGTAACTCTAATTTCAAACGTTGTATGCGAGCCGCCATTCTGATCAGGTCCTCATTTGCAGTTGAAGGTACTAACTGCAACCTCTCTGAAATTGTGTCAACAATTTCTTTGATAACCCTTGATTCATGCCTACACATTGGATATACAAGGATTATTAACACATACTCGAATTGATAAAAAAGTAATTTGTTTCATGCTCCATGAAACTTCAGATTCAAAATAGGACTTGTAAGGTTAACATCACAAGTAAATGTAGTAATATTCTTGGGAAACATTGAATAGTTTCAAATAGCAACAAACAAAGCAAGATGGATTTCTTTGTTGTAGCTTGAAGCGGGGCGTTAAATAAGAAATCAGAATTAGAAGTCAATGAAATCCATCATAACTTAAATTCAACCTATACATAACTGATCAATTGATCTACACGGTCATCAACATCATCAAGAATAATTATATTTGTATAAAAAGCTAACAAGGTACAAGTGTAAATGAGTTGTAGAGCATGCATATTCTAGGCATAAAAAGTGCAAAAACAAAAAAGAACATTACCCGTTGGCAATGTGCTTGGGTTCCCATCCAGAAATGTTACTTGCATCCACAAGTGCTTTTCTCCAAGATTTAACCTTGGCCTTGTGCTCCAACTCATGTTTGGCAAAGGCTTCTTGGTATTTCCGGATTTGTTCTCGAGGTGCAAAGAGCAATCCCCAAGGGTCCTCCACAACTGCTTGTCCCCAAGATTTAACTTTCTTCTTGTTCTCCAACTCATGCTTGGCAAATGCTTCTCCATATTTTTGTTTTTGTTTTCGTACTTCAGAGGGATCAACGCCATAGAATATGGGCATAACGATTGTGCCTTTCATATCCTTGCATTTGATAATACATGCAAGTTCATCTAAGCACCATGAAGAGTCTGCATAGTTCTCTGAGAATATGATGACAGCAATCTGAGATTCTTCTATAGCTTTCATAAGGGCTGGGCCGATTGATTCGCCCCGAGAAAGTGTTTCATCGTCCTTGTAGGTGTAGATTCCTTGTTGTTCAAGAGCCGAGTAGAGATGATCCACAAAATTTCTGCGAGTATCTTCTCCTCTAAAGCTAAGAAAAACATGGTACTTCCACGAATGAGAAGAAAAGGCCGGAACAGAGGGAGATGATGAAGAAGATGTCATCGATGTGTCGATTTGTTGAGAGAGAATGCAAGTGGTATGAGCACTTCAATGAAAAGAACTTTATACAAAGAGATTCGAGTTTCCAATAAAACCTGTTATTATGTAGGAAAACCATGCACAACTCATAACCGAGATAAATGGTTACCATGTAAAAACTCCTTTGAAAGTATAATACAAGCAAGTCATAAAAAACCACAATGTAAGCCTCGAGGCGGAATAAAAAATAATTATAAAATATAATATACGTCATAAAAAAACAATATACAAATCCAAATCAAAGTTAAAAAGTCCTAAATAATGTCTATCACCCTAATAATTAAAAATATTGTTAGTCTTAAACTCATTAAAATCAAATAACACAAATATTATCAGGTCAAATGAAGTTTCAACTCTCAAGTAAAAATCAAATAAAAAGTTACTTTTAAGCTTTTTTCACTATGCTTTCCGTTAAGAAAAAAAAATCAATAAGCCAAAAAAGAATAATATATATATATATATATATATATATATATATATATATATATATATATATATATATATATATATATATATATATATATATATATATATATATATATGGTACATAATCTATGTGTACGACTCAAGGAAAATCGCCCCATTGGATTTTCTTTTTGTATCCACAACACAGACACACCATTAGACTCATTTTTATCCAAATTCCATTCGTTTATAACATACAAAACAGGTATTCACTTCACAAAATGCTTAATTTGATCTTCTAACGACACTAATTCAAAAACTTCACAACTTTGATAAGATTAAGTCAAAATACGTTTCTCACATTCCGGATCTGACATTTCTTAAAATAACTTATATAAAACTTCATTAATTAGCACTTTCGTTTCTTTCTTGGTAACTTATATATAATTCATCAGTTTAACAGTTAGAGGAACGTACCACAGATTCCCAGAGCAACACCAAACTCAAGCGCACCCTTTAAATGACGAAGAAGAAATTAAGGGATGCCACGGATGCGTAAATTTGCTGAGAGTTGAGACAAAATGTATGTGGTTGGAGCACCTAAATGAAATGAACTATATACAGAGAAAAAGATATATCATTTCCAAGAAATTTCTTATTGCGTGATATTTTCTATAAATTGAGTTGTTTTTTCATTGAAAGTGTTGAGATAGAGTATATGTGGTCTGAGCCTCCTTAGGAGTTTCTTATCAATTAATTTTTTCAATACAACTTGACTTGTTTTCCCACTGTTGACGTCATCATCATAATCAATGACTTTTCAGGGCAGATTGATTTAATCAATGATGTGGTACAAGTTGTTGCCATTTGAATTTTCATCATCCACATCATCCGTCATGTGTACAAAACCGATGATGTGGAATTTCTAATATTCAAATAATTTTAAATTACTTATTATTACTATTATTAATATCAATACAAAAGCTAAATACTTATTTATCAAATAGCTTCTCACCTTTTTTCATGATTTAGGCAATACTGTTGGTTTTTATACAAAACATCTGTAACAAAGTTTCAGATTAGGACCAAAACATGCAATACGACCTTCTAACAAGTTGCTTTTTATTTTTTGTCTCAGAAATGCTTACATGGACAATCTACTAATACTTGTATAAAAAATATCTAGATGACTTCTGTGTGTGGGAAGATAGTCCAATAGACTTGTACCTCATGCAATAGCAAATTGTACCCCCTGCATATTTTTGAATTGGTGGTGGTGTGGTTCACCTTAAGGCTCATGAAATCGTCTCTTATTGTCGACCCACCATTGTCCTTCAGATGAAGAGTTTTCTAAACCATATGATTGTTGGTATATAAAACTAGCCTTGTTCATCAAGACATATTTTTGCAATCTGAACTCACCTGCCAAAACAGCCATTTACTATTACTCCGCCATTGTTGTTGATGTTAAGATGTACCCAAAATCGTAACAGTGACACCGATATAGAAACCCAACAACCTGCCTAACTGAAACCAAAAATCTTAACCCCAAATTTAATCCAAAAACTTGACTCGATCAAAACAAAACCTGAATCATTTGTCTACTTTATGTGTAAAAAAAAAAAAAAAAAAAAAAAAAAAAAAAAAAAAAAAAAAAAACTAAACGGATACCTTCACTTGAATGCTAACAATGATACGAACTTGATTCTGCATTAGGTTGAACTGAATCCGGAAGGCACTGAACCTTGTGTTGGATTGTCGATTAGGTCAACTCCAGGGTTTTCATTGTGCGGTTGCCGCAGGGGACAGCGAAGAGGTATGCCAATTTCCTATTTTTATTAGTGATTGTTAAAGGAGTAGTCTTTTTAATGCTTCCACAAGGACCACAACGAACCACTCATCGCCACTATCTTTATTGATTCATCTACGCTGAGCCGTACTCATCTTTTTTTTAAACCTTTTTGGCGATGAAGACAGTGATGGTCGAAAGCAAAATAAATAAATAAAAATAAAAATAAAATAAAATTCGAGTTGTAGCAGAAAAACCCCATCTTGATTTGGGAAGGAGACTGAGAAGGGTCGTCGGGGAGCAGGCAAAAACGACTCAGGAGTGGAGTCGGTGGTTGGAGCTGAGACAGACGGGTATGGGCAACGCGGACATCGCGTTATCTGACGTGGCACGCGCCTTTAACGGCGCCATAACGCGGAACACCGCCCTAGGTGGCCGTTATGGGGCGTTACGCCATTACTTGTTACCATAGTAATGAATGGTAACGCCATTTTTTTGACCGTCGCAAATTTTGTTCCGTTGAAAAACGGTAATATTACCGTTTAATACGGTGAATTCTAAAAAAATTACTACTTAACAAATTAAACTATATGAATACATATACCTCATTTTATTACACTTCTATTTCTCTATATCTATCTCTATTTTTTCTATATCTATCTCCATTTCATTCAAAACAAACAAACCACTATGGATCAAAACCTGAATACCCCTCCTTCGAAGACAAACACATCCACTCCATTAGGTTTTGCGGGATATGAGGGATACATGAACCTTCTAAACTCCCAAAACTCACCACAAATTCCATATTCCGGCAATTTTTTCAATCCCGCCTCACCCCCACTACAATTCCCCACCTCGCCATTTATGCAACAAAATGCAAACATTCAACAAAACCTTTTTAACACATTCGGTCCCATGCGCCAAACAGTCACACAACCCCCACCCACGCAAGAAACCGTTGTCGAGACGCAAGCCGGGGAAGTCAGAAAACATCGGGAAAAAACGGAGACCAAAAAAGAAAGGAAAAGAGGTCGTGGTCGGGGCGGAAAAAACGGAAGCACCTCCAACATGGTGGACACCGAAGGAAGAGCATGCGTTGGCGGTGACTTGGTGCGGTACTTCAAAACAACCAACTATGGGGAACGATATGAAGAGAGTTGCTTTTTGGGATGCCGTAATTGTCAAATTCCGCACAATTTTGAATAAGGGTGACACATATCGCAATAATGATATGCTTATTGGCAAGTGGACTCAAATTAGCCGGAAATGCACCAAATTTAATTCCATATACAACAAACTTTCTTCTCAACGTCAAAGTGGTGCCAATGATTTCGATGTGTTTAGAGCCGCGATGGAGGAATATCACGTGCAAATGGGGCACGTATTTGAGTATGAAAAAGTATGGGACATAGCGAGGAAAGATCCAAAATGGATGAAAACGCCAACATCATCGGAACAACAATCAAAGAGGTCTCATGGTTCGGGTTCGGTTGACGTTTCCGACGGACACACGAACATCGACCTCAACGCGGAGACCGATGAGATCCCAGACGAGTTTGATGACATCGAGGAAATCTCTCCGCCACGACGACCGATGGGGAGCGACAAAGCCAAGCGCGTGCAACGACATGCGCAGGAGAATGAAAGTCGGCTTCGAGAGCACGACGAAATGAAAAAAAAATTCGATGCCCACACGGAAATCGCAAATAAAAGATATGAATTGCAACGGGAGCATTTGGATTTCCTTCGTCAAGAAGACCAAGAAGATCGCATATCGAAGGATTTGACAATTCTTACGACAAACGAAGAAAATTTACCACCGAGACGAGCTGAAGTGATACGGAGGATGAAGGCAAAGATCAAGAGCAAATACTTGGGCGAAGAATAGTTTATCGGTGTTTTTTTTTAAATTATTAGGACTATCGTGTGTTTTTTGTTCAATGATTTTATTTTTGTTTGTATGGTATTTTTAATTTACTATTTAATGAAATTATGTTTTATTAATTTATATGTTTTTTATAGATATATGACATAAATAAAAAAAATAAAACAAATTAGAAATATATGAAGTAAATAAAAAAATAAAACAAATTAGAATAATAGAAATTAAATACATTAAAAAAAATATAATAAAAGAAATAGAAAATAGAATGTGTTATCCCATGTTATTTGGTGTTGCTCATTTCCACATTTGGTGTTATAACACCAAATTGTGACTAGGATGATGAGGTGGACAATTTGAGTGTGATAACATGTAATAACATGTTGCTCACACCTAGTAGTCTGAGGGGAAAGGTCAGGTGGGGTCTCCGATTGGACCCTATCCATTTAACGTCCATCTACTTCTTATTAGTAATAAATACCAATAATATCTTATATCTATATCTATATCGTTATCATTATATTATATATTATATATAATATTAAAGCAAGCCTAACCTTACGAATAGTAACCAAAACTTTCAATGCTTTAGGTTTTGGCAACAACAAGTTTGGAAGGTTGAGAATTTTAATCCTTGGATTGTTTTGTTTTGTAGTTTTGGCCATAATATGTTTGGAAGTTTGACAGTTTTGGTCCTTGGATTGCTACCGTCTTAATATTTACATAAGCAATCCCGGCTTTAAAACTATGTTCACAGAAATGGTCCCTATAATTTAAAAAAATGGTCCATATATTGATAAAAAATTACAGAAACTGTCGCTTTGTGATTTACACTATCATCACATATCTTTTAAAGTTTTTCGATTTTCACCAAAAGTGGCGTAGCCGCGCGTTGTTTACTAGTTATATCATTATCATTATATACTTATAAAAGAAACATTTTTTCTTTCACCACATTCATTTAAAACTCCCATGCATTTTTCCTTTCACCACATTCATTTGAAACAAACATGACTTTTCAATTTCTTTCTAATAATGATTATAAGTTGGTTAATAAGGTTAAATAAATATCAAACCTAAAGTGTAATCATAAATAAACTAAATTTCAATATCAGAATAATATATTTACTTATATTTATAAAGTAATGTCTTTAACTTTTAACATATTGTACTTAATTTATTAGATTTAATATGTTGTTGTATGTAAACCATTATCAATTTAAGGCTACAACTTTTGAACCGTTTGGATAAAATACTTAAACTTTTAATTTAAATATAACATTACAGTGTCAACTTAAATATAAATTTCATTCCATTTAAAAGAACCCAAAGAATATTTTGTGAATAGTTAAAAGTGATAAATTGCAGTGCTAACTGCAAAAACTAAATTGTAATCTCAATTTAACTAAAATATTTCCTAAAGATATTTTTATAATCGTTAAAAGTTTTCAAATAAGTAGCTTAAAATAACTTACAATAACAATAGTTAAAAATAACTCTATATAAATAATTATATTGTTACTTTTAAAATCAAAAACAGTGTTTGATGTTTTAAATAATTATAATGATAGAAATTAAAATGTTAAGAAAATAAATTTTAAAAAATTAATTAACAATAACGACAACTATAAATAACATTAAACCATATATTATATTTAATTTTATTCATGAGTAACTCGCGGCTCGCGGGTAGAAATCATTCAAACGATTGAGATTATGCAGTTATAATAGATGTATATATTATCATATAATTCAAAATAATCAATATATTATATCAATTTAGCATATGAATCATTATATCAATTTTAAAAACAACGCTATTTTTATATTTAAAAAAAATATATTTATAAAGATTTAAACTATATAGGTGTTTCTGCGCAACGTGCGGGCATGAAGTGATACAAACCCACAAGTCTGTTGTAATGCACCAAGCCAATAGACATAGATCCAGAGGCCAAACATTTTGTTTTTTTTCCTATAGCACAAGACATATTGGCTCTTTCCAAGTTCAATGAAACTAATAGATACACAAAACAAGTGCACAAAATGGTTGAGACTAGATGAGTGGTTTTCCTTACTCTGAAGTTTCAATTTTAGATTTTGCTGACATCATCTATAGGAAGATCGCTCATGTTCCATTAAGTTGTTGGGTTTAATTAATAAAGTTGTAGTTTCATTTGGACATCATGATTAATAACGATAACCCAATAGCTTAAATCATTGTTGCATTATGAATATGTCTAAACTAATGCAAAGCTAGAAACCTATACATCAACGTTTTCATTTCATATTTCAGAGCTACATGAAATAATGTGCAGGAAGACGAAGATGAGATAATGTTTTGAAAGTTGAGGGAATAAGTAGGTTGCATATCAGATAATCAGGTGCTTTGTGCACATTAACTAATACAGATTGTTAAGCTACACTAAAGTTGTTGAATGACACCAATACTCGATGCCAGAATAAGCAATTGTACGAATATTTCTGTTATAAATATGGCTCAATTTCTAGTGATGGCTATTTATTAGCAATATTATTTTATGTTAATAAATTGGGTGCATTAAGTAACTGCAAGGCAGTTACATATTGAGGGTTAAAGATACGTTTGATAGTAATCTAAATGTGTGTGCAGAAAATTGAGTATGTGTGTGTTTTGAGTGAACTTTTGTAACCTCCACAGTTTGATAATAAATGGTGTCCCTGTTGCTTTGTGGATGTAGGCTTATCAAAAGCTGAACCACGTAAATCATTATCTTTTTACTGTTTTTCACTTGCTGTGATTTTGATATTGTTGTGTTCCTCTGTTTTGGGTTAATTTTAGAGTGTTAGGAAGTTTGATCATATAACAACTGGTATCAGAGTCCATGGCAGACGATGCAGGGGCTGAGTTTAACCCTTTTGGTGGGAGAGGACCTCATGTGACAAAGACAACCGTTCAGAATGCAAAGTTTGAAGTCGAAAAATTTGATGGGACAAATAATTTTGGGATGTGGCAGTGTGAAGTCAAAGATGTTTTGGCTCAACAAGATTTGGATGTTGCTTTGGAAGAAAAGTCTGAAGATATGTCTGATGTTGATTGGAATAGAGTAAACAAGATGGCTTGCTCAACAATCCGTTTGTGTCTTTCTAAGCAACAAAAGTTCAATGTAATGAGAGAAACATCAGCAAAAGAACTATGGCAGAAATTAGAAGACAAATATATGACCAAAAGTGCTGAAAACCGTCTTTATAAAAAGAAAATGTTGTTTTACTTCAAATATAAAGAAGGTACAAAGATGATTGCTCATCTTGATACTTTTAATCAATTAGTTGCTGATTTATTGAACTTGGATGAAGAAATTAAAGATGAAGACAAAGCTTTAATTTTGTTAAATTCTCTGCCTGATTCATATGCTCATTTAACAACTACTTTGTTACATGGTAAAGTAACTATTAGTTTTGAAGAAGTCTCGAATGCTTTGATGAACTATGAGATCAGGCACGCAGATAAACAAATGAATGGTTCCACATCAGATGCCTTGGTTGTTCGAGGTAGAACATTTGAAAGGAGAGGACAAGATCATAGAAAGAAATTCCAGTCTCGTAGTAGAGGGAATTCTAAACCACGAAAAAGTTTGGGGAGAAACGAATGTGCTTTTTGTCATGAAATTGGGCATTGGAAGAAGGATTGTCCAAAACTAAAAAACAAGAACAAAAACACTCAAGCAAATGTCACTTATGGTGAAGATGAATCTGGTTCGGAATTTGTATTGGCAGTCACATCGAATTCCTTCACTAATGTGTGGTTGATGGATACAACAACTTCTCAACATATGTGCCCTAATAAGGAATGGTTCTCTACTTTGGATTTGAAGTCTCATGGTGTTGTATTAGTTGGTGATGATTACAGCCTAGAAAAAGAAGGGGTCGGTACTGTGAAGTTCAAGCATCATGATGGAGTAATTAGAGAATTTTCAAATGTATGGTATGTTCCTAAATTAAAAAAGAATCTGATTTCTTTAGGAGCATTAGAATCTGGAGGTTACAACTATTCATCTTCAAATGGTATTATGAAGGTAAAAAAAGGTGCATTAGAATCTACATTGAGATATTTCTTAAAAGATCGTGGAGAAAATTTCCCAGCAAAACTGAACTAAAGCAAACTCCCTTTCCAAACTCTTTACTTTGCAAGCTCGTACTTCAATTTCCACAGGATTTATTTCACCGCATAGTGAAAATAACGAAAAAGTATAATACTTCCCATAGGGTCTGTTTGTATGATGGATAGAATCTCGAAGGAATAGAATGAAAGAGGTAATAGAATAGATCATTACATTTCATTGTCATGTTAGATTTGCTCAAAGGAATGGAATGAGTTATTTGAACATGTTTTTTGTTATATACTAAACAAAAGTAAATTTACTTGAGTTTTGAAGTCTGAACATTTAGCCACAAAACTTCTTATTCTTATATTGTACATTCTCACCCCAAAATTTATTTCATCAGTTATTCAGTTATGCTATATGTCCAATAACTTATACACCGAAATTTCAACAATTATCAACTTACACTGTATTTGAATAATCAGCATTTGGAAATTCCCAGGCATTACAATTCGTCCCCCTGTTAGATTTTTGATTTGTATCCACAACACGTACACACCATTAGACTCATTTTGCTCCAAATCCCATTAGTTTATAACACACACAACGTATTAAGTTCACAAATTGCTTAATTTGATCATCTAACTAAACTAATTCAAAAACTTCACAACTTTGACTAAATTAGGTCAGTATACGATTTCTCACATTCCGGATCGACATTTTTTAACTCTTTGATAAATTTATTCAATAACTTATATAAAACTTCATTAACACTTCCATTTCTTTCTTGGTAACTTATAATCAGTATATCAGCTTGAGGAACGTACCTCAGATTCCCAGTAACACCAAACTCAGGAGACACACTTTCTAAGCTCTTTACTCCGCAAGCTTATACTTCAATTTCCATAAGATTTCTTCCTTTATTTCTTCTTTCAGCTCGGATCGATTCGAGTAGGTGGGTACCTTTCCTTCACTGTAGACTCTTTTCTCTCAATTCTTCAGATCGATTAACGAGGGAGTGAAGCAAACAAAGAAAGTAATTATAATCCCCGTGTATATTTACTAGTTTCAGGGTTTCATTATCAGTCATCACACTTCTCCACACTATCAACTTAAGCCCTTAAAGTATCAAAAAGATCACAAAAACGCCCAAATTAGAAAAAAAAATTAATAAAATTAACATTGTTTTATTTTTTACATAAATGATCACAAATTTTATTATGGGATCGTGTAAATTTATCCTTTGCTATGAATTTCACATTTTTAAATGATCATTGCCACCAAAGAGTAATAATTATTAAAGAAAAAAACATGTCTTCATATATTGTTAAATATATAATAAACCAAAAGTACAAGGATCCTCCACACAATAAAAACCTTATGGGGACGGAATCCATAATTTTTATATAGCACACAGACAAAAAACACAATTCACTCAATATGTTATAGTAGTGAAATCTGACTAAATCATTGGACGTGATGCCAAATATATTATTGCTGATTAATTAATGATTATCACCCACCATCATGACTTTTCCTTTAAAATGAAATGTAAATGAGAATATGTTGCGTGAGGAAATTACTATCAATAATTTTTAAGTTTAGACATTAGATTCTATCCATCTTCTGTTTTAATTGGTTGGTTGACCTTTTATAAAAAAAAATATGAAACTCATTTTTAGGATATGTGCCATTACTTTGTCAAGAAACATAAAAGAATATATAACTTATGATCTTTCATCTTTTGTAATTATATGGCTCAGAAAATGGTCTCTTATCTACATTTTTTGTGAATAATTATTTTGACATGTGCAACGCCTAACTTTGAGACTTCTTATATATTCATTTTATGTAGACAGTTATTAAAGAAAGGCAGTAACCAAAATCACTATCAACTTAAACCAGTTTAAAATAAAAGATGATTTTTTAACCTACCTAATAAACTAGATATAAACAGCAGCTATCAGCTGAGTTGTATTCCCTTTTTTTTAAGTATAGACAATAGACTCTTTCTATCTTTTCTTTTTTAATGGTTGGTTAACTTTTTAGAGAAAATAATATGAAACTCATTTTTAGAATATGTGTCATTATTTTGTCAAGAAACATAAACAAATATACATATTATGATTTTCCAACTTTTTTAATTATAAGGCTCAAATAATGATCTCTGATTTACATTTTTCTTGTGAAATTTGTTTTGTCCTATTCTTGACCTAACTTTGTTGACTTCTTATATATTCAATTTTTGTAAACAGTTGAATTAATTAAAGAAACGTCGTAAACAAAATCACTACTCACTTAAACCTGGTCTAAATAAAAGATGAAGAATATTTTACCTACATAATAAACTAAATATGAACAGCTAACATCTGAGTTTTATTCCATATCTTTTAGGTTCAGACATTGGATTCACTTATTTTTTCTTTTTTATCGATTGGTTGACTTTTTAAAGAAATACAGCTATCAATCACGTGGTATTCCATATTTTTTAGGTTTAGACAACTGATTCTTTTTATCCTTTTTATTGGTTGGTTCATTTTCTTATATAAAATATAGCTATAGCTGAGTGGCATTCTATATTTTTGAAGTTTAGACTTTAGATTCTTTTAATTATACTTTTTAAATGGATGGTTGACTTTTTACAGAAAATACAAACATACAAAACTTATTTTTAAAATTTGTGCTATTATTTTGTCAAGAAACATAAAAGAATATATAAACTATGATCTTCCATTTTTGTAATTATAGGGCTTAAATAATTGTCTCTGATTTACATTTTATGTGAAAAGTTGTTTTCACTTGCTCAAGACATAACTATGGGACTTTCAATATCCTTATTTTTCTCTTTTTGTAAACAGTTGTTGAACTAAATTACATGTACTCACAATATACTTTCAAGACAAAGTTGATTAGATTTAAATGTATGAAATATAAAGCATTGATTCTTTTACTTAATTTGAGCATCAGTAACTAACTCATGTTAGTTTCTAGCCGAATATTTTTGTGTTTTAACTTTCCTTCAAAAGGAAAGGAAAAAGAATGAAAAACAAATAAAAAGAAAGAAAAGTTGTAACCAAACTTACCTGAGCATAAGCAGGGTATCTAGTTTCTCCTGGTTATCCCACACATGCTTCTATTGAAACCTCTATCCACACCCACCCACCAAGCTGTTATACACAAGTTACAATGGGCAACCATTACGTGTGGGTAAAAATTTCAACTCTGCATTTTCAAGTAAAAATTTAATGTTAGTCTCACTAACCCAACCACAAGTAACTTTATGGTGATGTGAATTCACCCGCTTAGGTATGGGATGGCAATGGCATACCCAAGAATATAACATCACTAAACTAAAATTAAACTTTTACAATCCAAAATAAAATGTATCCAAGGCATTCTTTGAAATATAAATAACTATCACCAAAAAATTTCTAACCATCATTATTTGTAATTTACTCCATAATATCCAAACTATATTACATAAACCATGGAAAATCATATGTATATAAATGGTTATTGACCTATTTAAACTGAGGAATTTCATGATTTTACCAAATATACTTTGTTTACATTTTAGGCCATGCACTATGTCTGTGTGTGTGCATTTGCCTGTGCGATTGTGTGTATACACACACCCAAAAGCATAGATACGAAAACCTAATATCCCTGTCAAGATCCAAACCAAGTCAAATCAGTATAACTTGGTCTAAAATTTTCATAGGACAATTACAGAGAGTGGGCCTAAATGTTAACTTAAGTAACCAATTAAAAGATAGAATGATGAAACAAGAATCACAGAAACATGAGAACTCTTTTGTTAAAATCTTAGTGATCCACTCTCTGATATTGGGACATATGGGACATGAGAAATATTTTTTTATTTTTTAATGCGAAGTATCCATGATGTTTAAATGTGAATTTGAAGAATTCATTTAATTTATCAAAATATTTTAAGGCAGAAGGTAAGCCTTCAAACATTGCTTGTTTGACTAATAAATCATGTGAACAGGCTATTCACATAAGCTTAAACAATTTCAATGTAACAGCAATTAATAGCCACCTAAAAAAATTCCAATAGATTCACAATAATTAAAGGATCAAGGGACCTGGTGATGTGGTGGAAGGATAAGGAAACCACTTAAGATGACAATTTTATTGCTTTGTACTTTTCAGGGATCAATGTTTGAACATTTTTCCACACCCAATGACTTTATAAACCATTTACACCTTATATGTAATCCAGACGTCCCACATAAGATAAATACAATGAGTCTTCCCACATTATCTTGCACTTGTATCCATTACACAACTCTTTCTTAGACACCTAAGAAGCTGCCTAATAGTTTCTAATTCCACCACTAAGAGCTCCTCACAAATCTTGTGCTCTTCCATTCATAGTTTACAAGGTTATCAACCTTATCACAAGTTCATTCGAGTCAACTGATCAATTCCAGAATTTATCTATACATATAAGGTTAGAGGATGATATCTATACATATCAGGAAAGAGGATAATATCAAAACCCAAAAGAGAACCCATGATTCTATGAACTATATCAAGAGGAAATTTATGCTAAACATCAAGGACAATGAGTTTCAAACTCCAAACTGCCACTATTATCTTATCTTTCACGTGACTAATTGAAGGCTTAACTTTGTCAAACAATCACATAATAAGAGGGTAGTTGTTGAATATAGATTAAAAACCTTTTGCATTGTCAACAGGATGGACCCTAGCCTAACTGTATATAATTCTGGCCTCATATTTTTTATTTCAGTTTGTGGGACTAGGCGTCAATCTAATATAAGTTTACAGTCAATATTCATGAGTGAGTTATGATTGATTATTCAATTAAAATAGCAAAAATACAAGGGCTATACCTGACACTAAAACTCCAAGGGGCCATCCATGTAATACTGCAATAGATAAGCACCAAACCTCTTGAAATGTGTTTGACTATTCATGAGTGAGGCATGATGTGATGTTTCCTTCTTTGACTTCTGCATCATGACTAAGATGGATGTGTCAAAGATAGCATATTTACTTTTTTTTTGTCTTTACCAAAAACAAATATGCAATCTTGGACACAGCATTTCAGCCATCTACGCTGCTGAAATGTATTTGAAGATGCATAGCTCATGCCATCAATCAACATAGTGGGTTTGAACTTAGGTAGGCATTCACATACTTCATTATGAGTATGATACTATAGGAGTGGTTTCTTCAACTTTTGGGCATGCTCATTGAGTAGGTGCTTGTAGAACAAATGTGGTTTTAAACCTAAAAGGAAGAAAGAATATAAGTATTATGTTACAGATGATCAATTCGTATTATATATACTAGAACTAGACATCACAACTCTTGTAAATAAACAACAATTAAGTATTTGTACATGTACAAATGAACACAGCTTTAAACGTTAAATTGAGTGGTTCCTGCTTCCCAGTTGAAATATTAAAAACTTTAATAGTTGGACACATGTCTTGCCACTACTAATTTGTCAACAGAAAGCAAGATTTAGAATAAATAAGGATGGAGGCACGCACACGGCAAATACTATATTGACGCCTAACTTTTGGAACAATATAGATATTGCAGTGAAAATTGGTTGTCCGTTGTTAAGTGTGCTTCGGTTAGTTGATGGAGAGAGAAAGCCTCCAATGGGTTACATATATGAGGCGATGGATAGAGCAAAAGAGGCGATTGCTCAGGCTTTCAAAAACAAAGCAGATAAGTATGCAGAAGTCTTCAAAATCATTGACAGGAGGTGGAATTGCCAATTGCATCAACCTTTGCATGCTGCTGGGCATTACTTGAATCCGGCCCTGTATTATGAAAATCCGAATGTGGAAAATGATGATGAAGTGATGAGTGGATTGATGTCGTGTATTCATAAATTAGCATTGAACGAGGACGAGGAGATGAAGATTCATGCCGAGCTCCCAATATACCGAAGTGCACAAGGGATCTTCGGGAACCCGATAGCGAAGAAAATGAGAGTAAAAATTGCACCAGGTAAATAATATAAAAATAATATACTTTGTATAATTATAATTTTTAACATATCTTTAATTCTTTATATTATTTTGTTACTAAATTAGCGGAGTGGTGGATGCAATATGGAGCATCAGCCCCGACATTAAAAAAGTTTGCGGTCAAAGTGCTAAGTCTTACTTGTAGCTCGTCAGGTTGTGAGAGGAATTGGAGTGTATTTGAACATGTAAGTAACTCGTTTTTGTGAGTTTAATTATAGATAATTAGATATACTTTGTATAATTATAATTTTTAATTTACTTTTATGTAGTTACATTCTAAGAAAAGAAACCGGCTAGAGCAACAAAAGTTGAATGACCTTGTTTATATCAAGTATAATCGGGCTTTGAGAAGGAGGTACAATATGCGTGATACGATTGACCCAATTATATTGGACGATGCAAATGTTCTAGATCCGACTGAGTGGTTGATGGGAGGCGAAGAAGAGGAGGAAGATGCCCCGGTCTTTGAGGGTGAGAATTTAACATGGGGTCAAGTTGCAGATGCTGTTGGGGCATGTGAGCCACCTTATTCTACAAGAAGCAGGAATAGGGGAGCTGTTGACAAGTCTGCATCGAGCTCCAGAGGAAGATGTTTAATAGATGAGGATGATGACAATAACTTGGGTGAAGAAGAAAATGATGTAGCTGCTTATAAAGATTTTGAGCCTTCATCTGTTCAAGATGATGATGATGAGCCTGTCTATGAAGATCTAGATGATCTTTGATTTGGGTTTTTGAGTTTAGACTTGCCTTTTGTTATTTATGTTTAAAAACTAACTTCTAGCTGATTACAATCCGCTACAAATATGTCTAAAAAACTAATATGGTTAAGTTATTTAGCTAGTTTAATTGTTTGTTTGCTTATTTATTGGTTATAATAGCTACAATAGTTACATAATATATATTTTTTAATATTTTTATACCTATCGCTAAATACGAAATAGCGGTCGCTATTTACCGCTATTCGCTACGTAGCTTATAGGTGGCCCGTCGCTATTTATCGCTATTCGCTATCGATAACTATGGGAACTATAGATAAGGGTTTTGACCACGATTAGGTTCATTTGAATTTTAAGTAGTAAAATTGACATTTGACCATCAAACCAATCTAAATACCCAATTGTGAAATGGAAGGAATGCTAGTTATAAATGAATAAAGCATAATACATGTTTCAGCTCATCCTGCTATGCTTATTCCTGATGCTTCAAATTATGCCATTACCCTAGATATAATCCATGAAAGAGCATTGATTACTTAGTAATGTGTAATCCAATTATGTTTGTTTATAATATAAAGAATATTTACCTATACGTTCCATTAAAATCATTGGATATGACAATAATGGATGAGAAAAACAGAACACATTGCAGTTATAAAGTATCTCAACATGTGAACTATTGTTTCACCTAGAGAACCACAAAGACCACATGTTAGATCAATTAAACCCTCACTAACCAAGCTTGTAACTAAATAGATATAGAAGTGATCACCAGAGAAAACACTTCATGTTCAAAGTAACTTCATCTTCTGGACCTTCACCATAATCGACCACCTAGTCCTCAATTTGAACAATCCCCAATTCTTAGGTATCATCCTCCTATTCACCATGGCAAAGCTACTAATTGGTGGATAAGCAATATGAAGTTTTACAATTACCATAGTAGATATCAGAGCAAAAGGATGTCTAGTGGTTTAGGAATTGAGTGTTATACTAAACTGAATCCAACTACAATCTTAGGCCAAAGTGCCAAAACTAGTGGTCTGAGCTTAAAATGTTAACATATGGAAACTGAAGAGTGCCACAGATATATAGAATACTTGTTGGAACCAATAACATCTGCAAGTTATGTGTGTGTCTAAAAATAGATGGAAGCATCCACTTTGGAGAACAGATTATCATATTTCAGTTCTACTTTATGTAATTCTTTTCATACTAAAATACGTCCAAAATAAGAAAATAGTGCTAGGAGAACTCTTGCTGGAGAATTTATCGAACATTTTGTACTCATAGGAATGAGAGGTAGAACAAGTGTATATACCTAATGCTAAAAGACGCGCAAATGTATACATAAGCCCACCCAAATATGTCTATACACGTATATGCACACACATTGACCGATTTCCCCAACCGAGTGTTAAAATCGACCGTCTATTTAGTAAAATCGAAAAACTAAAACCAGATTTTAACCACATTGAAATCAAAACAAAATCTACATATAACCCGAACCCAACCCTAATATATCACTGATGTTTATGCTTGTGAGGAGAATGAACAAATTCTCACCAGGTCAAAGGGACTCGTGTTGTACAGCAAGGAAATTGTTAATCTCGATCGGAGTGAGCAGCTGGGTGGTTCGGAAGAAGTGCTCTGTTACTGTAGTGGGTTACAATGGAGAGCGGAGAGCTCAGCGCTCAGCATAAACCGTTCTTTGTTAATGTATCACTTTTTTTTTAGAAAATACATAATAAAAATTAAATATTATTTTTAGTTACATCATTAAAAACAACAAGAGCATTTCCAATTGAAGCTTTCTTTTAAAGGGTTGTGTTATAAGTACCCATTCACTCACATACAATGTCATATCCAGGAGCTGCACAAGCAGTATTACACTCAAATGTAAGGGGTACACAATATTGGGGGCACGTATAGAAATTGTTTTTTTTAAAACTTATTATTCATTTATTTATATTGAGCATTTTTTAAAACTTAATACCATTTACTTATTTATATTGAATACTTATTGTCATTGGAGTATCTAATTTTTAGCTTATTTTTATTGATCATTCAATATATATCTAGTAGTCAATAAAGTTTAATCATTTATACATTCAACCCTTTATTTTCTATTCATATTTTATTTTACCCTTTAAATATATTTTAGTTTTTAATTTATTTATTTATTACTAGTTAATAAATTCTATCAAATATTTAATGAGATTTTATTTATGAAATATAAATTTATAATTATAATCTTTATTAAAATAGTCTGTATTAAAATATAATGTATGCTTAAAAATGACTAACCAAATGGAGGAGATTATGTAGAACATTTTAAATAGATAATGATAGATTAGTTAAAATTAAAGAAAAAATTATTTAGAGACGTTAACAATTAGAGATGTGGTTTAGTTAGAGGTTACATATAATGGGATGATGAGGTGTTAATGATATTAACTCATAGTATAGGTTAACTATTAGAGATGTTCTAAGATCATCTCTAATGATAAACCTATATTCTAGGTTAAAAACATTGTCATTTCATCAACCCATTAATATTGATCTCTAATTAAATAAGTTTTCTAGTGGTTAACCTTTTCTATGCCTTTTATTATTAATTTAACTAATTTATCCTCATTTATTTAAATGTACTATAAAACCCTCTCATTTAACTAATCATTTTTTAAAATGCCGAATTTTAATACAAAGCATTTTAATAAATATTGTTGCTAGACGTTTAATATTTTAATAAATACTATCTTTTAACATTAATATTTAAATAATTTATTATAATACAATGCATTGCTTTGATAAATACTAACATTAAATCAAGGAGATAAAATGAAACATTATGAAAGATAAAGGGGTTAAGTGTTCATCATATCAAACTATATTGACCACTCAATCTTGGTCGATAAAAATTAGCAAAAAAGTGATGTTCTCCGATGACAACAAGTCATCGGAGAATTTATCCAAATAGTATAAAGCTATAAAAAAACTTTCATTGGAGATGCTTTAATTGATATCTTTTGACAAACTTTCTTTTATCATAAAATTTTTGACTAGTATTATTATACTTTTTATTTTTTTTTAAAAAAAATATTTTATGATTTAACATAAAATATATCGAATAAACTAATACATAAAAATGATAGAACCCCTTTGTAAACCTTTAAAAGGTCCATTAGATGGTGAATTTTTTTTTATCAAAATGTAGAGATTTATATGTTAGTGATTTGGCATGTGACAAATGGTTATGTATAAGTCCACCATAAAGAAAATGTAGCAATCCTATATGAGGAAATAGTATGAAAAGGGGTCCAACATGAGTAAAATGTGGCAATGTTGTATTTGACAAAGATGGAGGGGTATTAGTTTGAAGAAGGCTCTCAAGTTAAATTAAGTAAAATGTGGAAATGTTGTATTTCACTTTTAGCTCTCACTGAAAACTAAAGTAGAAAATAACAATGATGGAGCTATGAACCTATTTTTAGGCAAACATGGGAAACCCTAATTATGATGGTTCCTGCCCATCCATAACTAGCCTATGAGGGGATGTCCTAATTTCCAAGACGCTTCTAGAACCTTCAACCTCATGAGCATCAACCACGCATATGATGGAGCATCATGGGACATGATGGCGCATAATGAGCCACCATGGAACATCATGATGGCGCACCTACCATCATGATGGTACATCAGCTATATGGAGTATCCACCTTGAGCATCTTCATTCTTTTGAGCAACATTGGACAAACTTAATCATCCTAGCAAACATTACACCTAAATAACGCATCAAAAGCCATGACAGTGCATCATGAAACTTAGTGGCACATCATGCTTAATTATGGCGCATCCTTGCACCTTATTCATCAGCAACACCTCAACACTTCAGGAGTACAAAAACACAAAATGGTGGTGCATCTTGCACCAAAGGTGGTGAACTTTATGTCAATAGTGGCGCATCTCTGATGCTCCATTCTTCTCCTCGATGCTCCATACCCACACCCAATTCCAAGTGCTACATATTAATTCTAAATGCTCCATGTATGGCCACTGTAACCGGTGTGGTATATGTCATATTCCAGCCCAATGCTCGAATCAGCCCACTTCAGCTTCAGCTCGTGCGTGTCACAAGCCAATTATGTGACATTCTCAAAAAATGACTCGGTTGTCGGTTCAACATTGTTTACCAACACTAGGTCAAACAGTCACGTGACACCCGACTTCATGACTTTAGACAACGATGATGTTAACAATGGCAATAAT